AAGTACTCACCTCATAGTTCTCCTTTAAGGTCTGGTAGGAATTTTAACACCACCCCCAAAAATGGTGGAGAAAAAAACGTGGGCCCCCCCCTAAAATTCCATACCAGACCATTGATCCAAGCACAGGCCTGGCAGGGCAGGAAAGGGGGGGACGAGCGAGTGCCCCCTCCCTATACCAGGCCACATGCGCTCGGCTTTGGGAGGATGGTTTTCCAGGGTCGCCCCCGTGCCGATGGGGACAAGGGCCTCTTCCCCACAAGCCCTGGGGCATTGGTTGTGGGGTTGCGGGCAGGGGGCTTATTCACATCAGGGGCACCCAGGGGGCTTACATAAAGGGGCACCCAGATGCAGCCCCCCCCCTTGTGAATGAGTAAGGGGTACTGGTACCCCTACCCATTCGTGAAAGGGTTGAATAAAAATTTAAAAAAATACGCCAGACTTTTGTAAAAATACTTTAATACTAAAACAAATGGATCCGCTGGCGTAATCCAAAGTCAAACACGACGTCCAGCGTTGTCCACGAAGACTTGACGAAAAAACATAAATAGAAATAAATGTAAAAAACTGACGGCCGCCGACCCGTCCGCAGAATGGCATTCTGACAGATGCCGGCAACATATAAGCAATTGGGCGGAGCTAGCGGTGACAGCTACATGTTGTACGACATTTGACAGATGAGCCATGATTGGGCAAAGTCATCATGACAAAGTACTGTGACCTGATTGGGCAGTCCTGCACCTGACCTGTGGTCAGGTGCATGGCTTCAGCCAATCAGGGCTCACAAGGCACTGTATGGTGCAGTGCCTCGTGGGGCGCTCGGCGGGTGAACAGCCTGCAGAATGCCTTGACAGTTCGAGTGTTCGCCGAACACAAGAACTGCTGATGTTCGAGGCGACTCGAACATCGAGCCCATCCCTAATCTCTACTGCACATGCTAGGGTTGCCACCTTTTCTTAAAGCCAAACCCGAACACTCTAGCGTCGCGTGGACATTTTTTGGGGATAGTTGCGGCGTATTCATATGTAAATAGCGCCACCCATTCATATGTAAATATCACAGTTGAGACTATTTTCAGTGGGGGGGCCAGTAGCCCCTATCTTCATTTTGGTTGCCCCTGTCTGTGTCCGGGTTTCTGCTGCCATGAAACCCGGACACAGCATTCAAAATCTGGACTGTCCGGGTGAATCCTGGACAGGTGGCAACCCTAGCACATGCGCCCGCCCCATGATCCTTCACAGCCACTTGAGAATCCTCAGATCTTCAGACGGGAGCAACCTCAGATCTTCAGACGGGAGACACAGGTAAGTAGCAACCTTTTTGGTGACTTTTTAAAAAATTTTTTTTGCATATTTTTACTGTAAAAAATATGCAGAAAAATAGGAAGGTTTATTTGTACTTTACGTGCAGAGGATCCGACTCCAGTGGCGTCACAAGGGGGGTGTGGCCTGCACCCGGGTGATACCATTGGAGGGGTGACACCAAAATGACTCACAGTCATTTTGGTGTCACCCCCCTCTGAAAAGTCGGGCGCTCGGTCATTGACCGAACGCCCGACAGTATCAGGAGAGAGGAGGGGACCCGGCGGCATACCTTATCCCGCCGGGTGACTGTCCCCTCCTCTCTCTGCCGGCGGCCATCTTGGTGTCAGAATACTGCCGCGTGATGACGTCACGCGCATGCGCAGTGACGTCTCGGCGGGGGGACACTCGATTACCGCTCTGGGTGTCACCCAGCCTCGGGACGCCCCTGTCCGACTCCAGCAGCTTCTTTTGCGTGTTACTATCTACATACATGTTGCTGATTACAAAAAAAAGGGCTTCCAATTCCTGACTTTCCACTGTGGATTACTCAGCAATGGGAGAAATGACAGAATGAGTGAAAGTGGCGTCTCATCTCCGTGCCATCTCACTCAGTCTGCCTCACATGCGGCGTAAAGAAGCTCATAAAGATCCCGGTGCAATGTTCTTCAGCGGTTGGTGAGACCCGGGAGGGAGTCATGAGAAGATTCTAGCCTGCTGCGCTCTGTTATGACAGCAATGGTGAACACGTCTGTCTGGAATTCAGGAGAAAAATGATCCAGTGATTTTTTAATTATTATGATTAGCATTCAGCTCAGACGTGACTAATTGTTCTGCATTTCCCTGTTTTGTACAACGCTCACTGTAAGCCTCAGATACACTTTAGGCGGAGGGCTACAATGGAGTTCAGTTACAGCGAGACCTCTGAAATGTGATAGAAGGACACAGTGGGGAATGTATCAAAACTGGAGCAGACAGAATCTGGAGCAGTTGTGCATGGCAACCAATCAGCTTCTCTCTTTCATTTTCAAAGCTTAACCTAACACACTGAAGACAGGAGCTGATTGGTTACTTTGAAACTGGTTCTGGACAGGGATCGGCATACAAAGCGTGTGCATGTTTATATGTATGACACAGCCAGCCACCGCCAGTCCTTCAACAACACCGCAGATCCAGGAAATGGTTTTCAGAAGGTTTCAGTAACCTGCGTTCACTTCAAACAGTCAATCAGATAAAGAGGATCGGAAACAAAGTGACTGCTCCGAAACACGTTTGCATATGTATGGACGGCAATTACAAGACTATCTCTTTGTGGTCAGAGCTATGGAGAGAGAGAGAGAGAGAGAGGATAAGGGAGAGAGAGAGAGAGAGGATAAGGGAGAGAGTGGGTAGATACAGAGAGGAGGGATAAGGGAGAGAGAGCGAGAGAGAGGAGGGATGGATAATGGGGGGAGAGAGGGAGAGAATGGGTAGATAGAGAGGAGAGATAATGGAGAGAGAGAGAGATAATGGACAGAGAGAGAGATAATGGGGGGAGAGAGAACGGAGAGAGAGAGAGAACGGAGAGAGGGAGAGAATGGGTAGATAGAGGAGAGATAATGGGGGAGAGAGAGAACGGAGAGAGAGAGAGAACGGAGAGAGGGAGAGAATGGGTAGATAGAGGAGAGATAATGGGGGAGAGAGAGAACGGAGAGAGAGAGAGAACGGAGAGAGGGAGAGAATGGGTAGATAGAGGAGAGATAATGGGGGAGAGAGAGAACGGAGAGAGAGAGAGAACGGAGAGAGGGAGAGAATGGGTAGATAGAGGAGAGATAATGGGGGAGAGAGAG